CCATGGGAGGTATGTAAAACACAGCATGGATAAAGTGTTGTTAACATCCATGTGAACAAATACATGGGAGGTATGTAAAACACAGCATGGATAAAGCATTGTTAACATCCATGTGAACAAATACATGGGAGGTATGTAAAACACAGCATGGATAAAGCATTGTTAACAATGCTTTTATTTGTTCACATGGATGTTAACATTTGTCTTGTTATGGACTCTTTGAATTAAATGCTGTTCTTTTATGTTAGGATTTTATTACTAAAATAGTGTTATGTCTGATATTTTGAAAGATTCAAAGGGTAAAATTGTCACCAGCATTACGCTGAATTGTACCTTTCATTCATGTCACAGGAAAGCCGTGATTCCAGGGTTGACAGCTGGAGAAGCTGGTCAGCAGGTGGTAAACCGGGAAAAGCAAAGAAAAAGAAGAAAACACTGAGAGCAGAATTTAAACCTCCAAAACATAAAGCAGAAACAAGATAAAAACAATTCTTATTTTTTGTATTTTGTTCATATTTTATGTATTTAACCAACTGGAACATTGTATGTATATGTCACCTACTAGTTTTTTTTATTTGACTGAAATTTTCATAATGTTGTACTGAGAGTAAAGACAGAATAAAAGAGAACTTAAATCCAGAATATTGCATACTATAAATTACATGTCATCTATGTTTCTTGTATTTATTGCATAGTTTAGAATAGGAACATTTAATTCAGTACTATGCATCGTAGCCAAATATGGTTGTTTTGAAGAGTGCAGGCCAAATATGGGCACAAGGATAGTGTTAGTCTTGGATATGCCTGGGTTGATTACATTCAAACCTAAGACATCTTTTTGTACATCCATTAGTTTTGTGATCTGAATCAAGAGAAAATAGCTGTAACTATTAAACTCTTCCCTTCAATCCTTCCTTTATTTTTATTAAAACATTCCTTTGTTTTAGCATAGCATCTGTCTTGCATTGATAGATTTTGTTAAAACTTGGTATGTACATTGAGCTTTGTAAAACCTCAATGCCTATCACTTTGTTTGTATGATTAGACTCAAAATGGCTGACTGGTGGCCAGTTTGACTGTTCAAACTTTAAAGATATTTCAAACTTCAGAACTTACAGTGATTACTGTATGTAATGCAATTACTTTATGTTAACCTTATTGCTGCCATTGTACATATAAAGGATGAGAACCATGTGATACTTGTATTCAAACCTACGTTATATATTTTCTAACCTTTTCACCACCAGACTTTCTTACCCAAATTGTCTGCACTATTTTCTTGTATTCTTCAATATTTGTAGAAATGAACGCTAATTTTGGAGCCAACAGATAAAATTTGAGTCAATTATCATCTCAATGTTGGGAAGGAAAGTGCAGACTATATATTTTGTGAATTTGTGATAAAAAAAAAGAGAACTGGTGGTGAAAAGTTTATGAAATTTCTATTTTCAAATAAAACAATATTTTTTTTTCACCAAAAAGAATATGAAGTGAATTCTATCACAATCAATACTGTCTCAATACTTTGTCATCATTTATAATATCAATATCAGAATTTTTGAATAAATTACTAATTTTTGTCATTGAAAGCGTGCTTTATTAGTCCCTGTCCGGATGCACTCTGAAAACGGGGACTTATGTTTTGACCTCCGTGTGCAACCTGTATCTTAGAAATGCCTGGACCAATCACAATCAAACTTCACACATACATCATACATGATATTATACACATGCACGTCAATTTGTTTCACGATCTGATTCAAAATGGCCACCATTTTTTCGGCTGTTTACATTTTGTTTTTCAGATAAGATTAAAAATGGTCGACTGTCGGCCATTTTGTTTTAATAAATGTGGTTCTATTGCCATATCTCTGACTTGCTTTGACTGATTATGTTCAAATTTTAAATATTTGTCATAGATATACAGATATATTGGTTTTATTCGATCCTATTAAAAATGGCCAAATGGTGGCAATTTTTATGCTAAAAAAATCATCAAAATTCACTACGTTCAATTACCCACCATAGACTCCGGTCAGTCAAAATGACTATTTTGAACTGTAGGTATTAATCAGCGATTCTGCCGGTGACTGAGAGATAGAATCTAGGTCAGGGGAATGACCCCAAGATTCTCTTTCTCTTACGTCGCGAACCACGTGACCGAGGCCATATGGCAGCGCCATAGACTGCTGTACAAATCTTTTTTCTCCGCATCCGAGAGGATGAAGTCTGCTGGATCGCCTGCCTTTTTTCCTGTCCGGGTTTCTAAATTGGGTTGTTGCCGCTGCACGGCATCCGACATTGTAGCTGGTAGGATAAGTTTTCCTTGTTATTTTTACCC